ATTCCCTTGGGGTGGATGCTGTCAAGACATGGTTTCTCTGTGTTAGCCCTGGCTGTCCTGGAACTCCTACTGTAGACCAGGCTGCCCTTGAACTCAGAGATCCTCCTACCTGAAGATCAAAGGCATGGCCCACCATGCCCAGTTATCGATAGATTTTCTTTGTAGAGGGCACATGCCAGCAATCTTCAGACAGTGTTGCATACACAACGTGTGACCAAATGATTACTACTGTCTTTTTTGGATTTCTTTCTTTATTTTAATTAGCATGCAAAAGAAATGGATTTAATTGTGACAACTTTATATATGAATAATTATCTTTTGTCTTAGTCATCTCCCACTGTCCCTTTCTACCTCCCTGTTGCCCTCTTTCTCCTATGCAAATAGTAACCATTTAAACATACAGGAACCTGTTATTGAATATCTCATGTCTCCACAAGACCCTGTAGCTTCAAAAACTACCTACCCTCCTGGGGCTATCAGTGTGAGACAGGTCTCCCAGTTATTAATATGGCAAAGTCAGAAAAGTCCCTCACCTTTTCACCCTCTGTGATGATCTGGATAGCATTTGGGATGAGTCGAGCAGTTTTCTCCTTGGTCATAAAGGTTATATTCTTTAAAGCAATGGAAATCTAAACACACACACACAAAATACTTTTTAAGAACTGAAATGTGTATTTTCAGAAGCATATACAACCCCAAATACCAAGTGTTATCTCAATCTAATCCAGAGTATTAGCAGGCTGAAAGGCCTGCTTTAAGAGTTTACAAGCAAATGTGTTCTCTATGAAAATCAAGGTCAGCATTCGGAAACACTCCCCTCAGCATTCTGCCCATAGATCCCAGGATCTAATGTTAGGGCTGGGTGTCAAAGACACGTGGGAGTTCAGGCCCCACATTTAAACTCTACACAATGTAGACAGTCTGTCAAGTAACTGTGGCTTTGGCAGTCAAGCCCTTCCAACCAAACTGTAGTAAGTACAAATGGGGCCTGATGTATTGAAATTAGAAAAATACATTACACATTTACACATGCATAAATACATTATACTTACATAAACATAGATATACAAATACATATGATTTTACTTTGGAATCATCCTCAATACACTGCTTTTAAGAGTACTGTGTATATTTCTGACTATGCAATTATTTCTATCAACAAATCAAATGCAAACATATCTTACTGTAGTTTCCCATCTGAAGATGTTGCTATAGAAACACAGCCAGTTTTCTGAAAGGTACAGCCTCCCCTGAAGCAAAATATCTCTCTGAAGGGCACAAGCATAATCTATACAGACAAAAATGAGAAGGTTATTCACAAAAATCTGACAACTGAATAAACCTTATACTACTTTAGCCCATGGAAAGTCATCACTGTTCACTCACTCACTCATTCATATACTCTATGCCATCTGTTTTGTTATGCGCTAAGTTCACCAGAAGTATTTCTTAGCCTCATGGAATTTTGTAAATGAAAGGTATTTAGGTGTGATGGTTAATATTGGCAACCTGCTAGAACCTGGAGACAGGCCTCTGGGCATGCCTGTGAAGTAAGACCCACCCTGAATGAATGTGGGTGGTACCATTCCATGGGCTAGGGTACCAGACTGCATAAGATGGAGAAAACTCACTACTTTTTGAATGTGAGTGCAATGTAACCAGCTGCCACCAATGCCTGCCACTGTGCTTTCCTCCCTTCATGGACTGTGAACCAAGATGAAGCCGTTCTCCAAGTTGATTTTGCCAGGGCGTTTTACCGAAGCAAAGGAAAAGTAACTAATACAGTCAGGAAAGTAGTTCCTCATGTCAGGGAAGGCAGGTCGTGGTGGCAGATTGGTCAGGATAAAGAAGCAGAGAAAGGGGATGCCAGTGCTTAACTGCCTTTCCCCACTTTCCCTTCTTGTCCAGTAGAGGACTCAGCTCATGGGATGGCGTGACCCACATATAGGGTCTCCACCCCCAGTTAAAACTCCTAGAAATTTACTCATTGACACATCCAGAGGTGTGTCTCCTAGGAGATTCCAAATCCAGTCAGGCTGACTATGAAGAGCAACCACCAACACATCCAAAAAACAAGTATGATGATGATCAAAGCACAGAGAAAATTACAAAACACATAGAACATTATCAGGAGTGACTTCCTTGAGTAAGTGTTCTTTAAAAAAAATAATCCAAATATTCAATTGGGGGGGTGACACATGCCTTTAATCCCAGTACTCAGGAGGCAGGGCAGACAGATCCCTGTGAGTACAAGGCCAGCCAGGGATATATAAGGAGACCCAGCCTCAGAAAAGAGAATGGGTGGAGGTGGGGGGGGAGGGGGATACCAGTAGAATCTGGAGAAGATGGACTCATAGGTGGAAGGAACATAGTTAGATCTATGGTTTTTGGGAGAAGGTTTTTTGTTTGTTTCTTTGGTTTTTGGTTTTTTGAGACAGGGTTTCTCTATGTAGCTTTAGAGCCTATTCGATCTATGTGTTAAGTACCACTTCATTCAGGCTGTAAAAATGGGCTTTTGCAGTGACCTTGCACAACCTTAGAGATGGACCTAACTGGGGAACAGGGAATGAAGAAACCACACACACACACACACACACACACAGAAAAGCTGAGGTCAGGAGGTGGGTCATGCACTCTGATGGAGATGCACCAGCAGGAGACTGGAAACATCTCTTCATTTTATGCACTGAATCAAGGCAGGGTTATTATATACAACTGAATAGGAGGCTGGTTTAGTTAATCTTGGGGGTTCTGTAGGGGACCAGTCTCATGTTACAGTCACTGAGGAAAGGATGCCGTGGTTGATTGTTTCTGCATATACTGTTTTAGCTAAAGGTCAATCTGCGGTCACCACTCTTCTTGGACCAGGGGAAGACTTTGCATTTCCCTGAGCCTGACCCAGAGAAGGCTTTGCCATTACCATGAATCTGAGACATTGGGAGCTATGCTCATGTCAACAATACACATTCATTCAGGACTCCCCTCCCCCCTCAGATTCTGCTAAGGCAACTACACGTCTTGGGAAAAGCTGATGGTGCCTCAGACCAGAAATATTAAGATTCAGAGACATTTAGAAAATAGTACTAGTGGTGATTGATCAGATGTTGGATAAGAATAAGAGAATGATCAGAAAGCTGTATGAAGCTAGAGAACATGCTAGTACATATGATTAGCATCCTGAAAGCCCTGGCTTGTATCCCCAGCACAAACACACACACACACACACACACACACACACACACACACACACACACACACACGTATACAATTTAATTCAGTTTCAAGGCTGATCCTGTCCACATCAACATTAAAATCTTGTAAAATCAAATCTTCTGTTAAGAAGGAGAGGAAGGAAGAGGAAGAAACTATGGTATTGCCTACCAAACAAGTTAATGATACCACTGTGATAGTTTTAATTGCCAATTTACACCATCTAAGAAAAGAGTCTCAATGAGAGACTGTCTAGGTTGGATTGGCCTGTGGGTGTGTTTTGGGGGATTATCTTGTTGACATTAGTTAAGGTGAGAAGATTAGACCATTGTGGGTAGCACTGTTCCCTGGGTTTCAGTCCTAGCCTGAGCAAATGCAGGCATACATTCTCGACTCCTGGGATGTGATGTAACCAGCTCCCTCATTGTGACAGATAACAACCTGGAACTGTGAGTTGAAATTAATCCTTTCTTCTCTAGCTGTTTTTATCAAGCTATTTTGTCTTAGTAGCTGAAGACGAAACAAAGATTAGTTTGCTTTCAGTTGTTATAAACACTGTGACCCAAAGAAACTTGGGAGATGAGGAAGGGATTCTGAGGCTTACACTTCCCTCACAGTCATGGCAAAACCTGGGGCAGAAACCAGGCAAGAGTACTGTTTTCTGGCTCACTTTTTAACTGCTAAATTTTAAAACTGCATCAGGTAGTTTTTTATTTTAAATAAAAGTTGTCAGGTATGGTGTTATACATCTTTAATCCCAGCACTCAGGAGGCAGAGGCAGGTGGATCTCCATGAGTTCAAGACCAGTTTGACACGGGAAGCTCTAGGACAGCTAGGGCTATATAATGAGAGCCTGTCTTAAACAAAACAAACAAAATCCAACAAAAATGTTGAATAAGCTTCAAAATATTTAACCGTAGTTGTGTTAAAGTTCTAGGCAAACACTAAAACCTGAGCAAGGTAGTCAACCTTTTCACACTGCTTCCTTCAGGAAAAGTAAAATAAACACACAACCAACAAAACTGAGATGCTGCCAAACAAAAATTCCCAGTAAATAACTGAGCAGATCAGGTTGCTCATTTACCAGCATGTGTCTCCCAGATTGACTGGATTAAAGGTCATCTTCAGGTGCCATGACATTTTTATCCTAGCCACTGAAACATTTTTATCATCCAGTGCTTCTCAGACATGAGAAATACCTGTGATAACAGAGTGCCAGTCCTTTCCCACAGTTCTGATTAAATAGGTCTGGGGCAAGGTCAAGGGAATGTGTCACAGGCTGTCATTGGTGCCCACCTTGCTATGCTGTACATCACCTGCACTCTTTTATACTAACTACACTGAAAGCGACAGCACACACCTGAAGTATTTTAGCCAGAGAATACTTGGTATACATTGACAGACTTTTCAGTAACTTTAAAATGCAGCTTCCCTGAAATGTGAGTTATCATAATAAACACCGACCACAGTAAAATTGCTTAAAATTATGGCAAAGAAAAAATAGATAAACATAAAACATTGCAAAGGCATTACATTATATCACACACAAGAGATAAAGCATTTTCTTCTGCCTTTGTGGAGAGGTATTCAAGGTTGGAAAGAGAATTTGTACTGGATTATATGCCCTCAATACAACATTTTTTCTGTTTGTACCTCAATCTTGTTCACTTAGATAATCAGAGAACTCAAAAATAAATTTTGAGCAATAACATCACCTAGAAAAAGAATAGTCTCCAAAACAATTCTTTCAAAAGGGGTAAAAGTATGAATACCATTACTTAAAAAAAAAAAAAAGAGCAGTGTGTAGAACTGGTAAAAGTTGGAAGGGATATTAGTTGACATGTGTTCATTTCCTTCCCCTTCTACAAACTTCTTTTGAGATGACAAACAAGACATTTAATCACTTAACTTCAAAACAGTGCTGAGGGTGGGGAGGTACCTTAGCAGGCTGAAAGATCATATACAGTTTAAGAAGAAAGGAAGCAGGTTCCGATGAATAAACCCTCAAATAAAATAAGTGAATAAAAGCAATGAATGGAGCCTTGGCTCCAAAGTGCACAGGAGAAGGCTGCAACAGAGGGTGTTCTCATTCCCTATGTCTGCACAGAGGTAAGTTTACAACAGGGACAGACACACAGTAACGGGCTGACAGGCTCCTACAGCAGACCTTAAGCCACACTCATCTCCTCTCCAAACACTGGCAGCACCAGTTGCCCAGGTTTTATATAAGAAAAACAGAAATTGCAGACCACATGAAGAGAGTGCAATGTTAGTGTCACAGGGTAGAAATCTTTTGACTTGCAAGAATGAGAGGATAGTGTATTTGAAATCTCACATGTCATCCAAAGGCCATGTATTCAAGGCTTGGTTCCCAGCCTGCAGCACTACTTGGAGGTGAAAGAACCCATGAACTGGGGGTGGGGGCTGGGGAATCTATTGGGAGGAAATTGGTTCACTGTGAAGTGGTAGCTTATGCTCTGTCACAAAGTCCCTGCAATAATTAACTGCTTCAACACAGCTCTAAAGCAGTGGTGACACAGACCATGGATGGGAACATGTGAAACCATGAGCCAAAGTGATGGGGGATGTCCTTCTGTATATATGTTTCTCTTATTGGTTGACCAATAAAACACTGACTGGTCAGGCAGGAAGTATGGGCGGGGTGATGAGAGGAAGGAGGAGGCAGAGAGAAGCGTCTAAGAGACGCCATGTAGCTGCCAAAGGAGTAACAGGTCTGGGCACTCTCCGGTAAGCCAAGACCATGTGGAAATACATCAATTTATAGAAATGGGGTTAATAGTCAAAACAAAGCTAGCCGATAAGAAGCCCTAGCCAGTCCAACATTTATAAAATTAATATAGCATCTGTGTGTTTATTTGGGGCTGAAGATAGGCAGGACCTGGTGGAAAATAAACTCCAGCAACACCAAAGTAAGTCTTCCTTTCTATTCCACATTATCTCGGTGTTTTGTCATGCATAGAAAATGGCCCACGATATTGGTCCGTCAGCATGCCTCTTGCCACCTTCCCACAAACAGCAAGAGTATATACCACCCCTGCTGTTTAAAGTCTAGTCCTTCATTCACAACCATAGACTACATAGTTCATATATTTCCTATATACAGTCTCCCCATACCAGCCTAGCCTGCCACTCAGACGAAAATCATTCCAAGACTAAAATAACAAAAAAAAAAAAAAAAAAAGATGGAGAGGGGAAAAAGGAAAGTTTTTCCATTGTGTTAATTTGGGCCATCTGTTACTTCAAAGTTGACTACAACTATCTGGGAAAACATCTGGGCAGACTGTACAGGCTTCTGACTAATAAAACCTAAAGAGTCGGGGGCTGGAGAGATGGCTAAGAGTGGTTAAGAGTACTTGCAAAGGACCTGGGTTCTATTCCCAGCACCCACAGAGCAATTCACAACCATCTGTAAATCCATTTGAGGGGATTTGATGCCCTTTTCTGACCTCTGTGGCACCAAGCACACACATGATGACATACATGCAAATAAAACCCACATACACATAAAACATAGGCTAGTTTCAATACATTTCCTTCTTTTCTTCCTTTTTTAAAATTATTTTTCAAGACAGAGTTTCTCTGTTTAACAGCCCTGGCTATACTGTAATTTACTTTGTAGACCAAGCTGGCCTCAAACTCACAGAGATCCTCCTGCATCTGCCTCCTCAGTGCTGGAACTGAAAATATGCATCACCACTGCCCAGTTTCAATACATTTCAATACATGCCGCTCTCTTAGTCTCTCTCTCTCTCTCTCTCTCTCTCTCTCTCTCTCTCTCTCTTCTTTTTCCTTTTTTGAGATAGGATCTGTGTAGCCCTGGCTGGCCTCAAACTCACAGAAAATCCACCTGCCTCTGCCTCCTGAGTGCTGGGATTAAAGGCTTATGCCACTACCGCCCAGCTGACTGTGGCTACTCTTATAAAGGAAAATATTTAATTGGGGTTATCTTACAGTTCAGAGGTTTAGTCCATTATCATCATGGCAACATGCGGACAGACATGGAGCTACACAAGAAGCTGAAAGGTCTATATCTTGATCCAAAGACAGCAGAAGGAGTCTGTGTACTAGATGTACCTTGAGCATATGAAACCACAAAGCCTGCACCCACAGTGACACATTTCCTCCAACAAGGCCACACCTACTCCAAAAGGCCACACTTCCTAATACTGCCACTTCTGATGGGCCAAGATTCCAAACCCAAGAGTCTATGAGGGCCATTCCTATTCAAACCACCACAGTGCTCGAGCAGTTTCTTCAGGAAGAGTGACTGCAGACATGTTCCTTGCTAGAGTCTCAGCAGTCAGAGATAGGGAATAGACAATTGGAGTCCGCCCTCCGTAGCCATGGGTTCTACCTCCTTAGATTAAATCACAAAGGTAATTTTAGATGTTTCTTTTTAAAAGAACTACATCTGTACTGAACAAGCACAATTTTTTTCAGTCACTATTTCCTGAACAACACATATAACAACCATTTGCATATCATTTACATTGTGTGAGCCATTAATAGCAATCCAAAGATGATTTAAAGCACACAAAAGAATGTGTTTGGATTCCATGTAAACGGCATACTATTTTACATAAGGGCTTGAGTGCTGTGGAACTACCTTTGTACATTGGAAATATGTATTGCTGTCATTGTTAATAAAAAGCTGATTAGCTAATGGCTAGGAAGGATGTTGGGACACAGAGAATGCTGGGAAGAAGGAGGGTGGAGTCGGAGTCAGAGGAGTCAATAGCCAGATGGAAAGGAAGCAGGAAATGCAGAAGAGGTCAAAGCAATGAGTCTCAGAACAGTACATAGATGAATAGGTTAATTTAAGTTGTAAGAGTTAGTAATAAGCCTGAGCTATTGGCCAAGAATTTATAGTTAATAATAGTCTCTGAGTGGTTATTTGAGAAGCAACTAGAGGAACAGAGGTGATTGTGGTCCCAATGAGAAACCGCCTACACTTGAGTATCTATGGACCTTGGTATCTGAGGGGACTTCCTAAACCCAATTTCCTGACATATCAAAGGGCAAACCACTCTTTTTTTTCTTCTCCTTTCTTTTCTTTCTTTTTTTTTGTTTTGTTTTTCAAGACAGGGTTTCTCTGTATTGCTTTGGAGGTTGTCCTGAACTTGCTCTGTAGACCAGGCTGGCCTCGAACTCACAGAGATCTGCCTGCCTCTGCCTCCTAAATGCTGGGATTAAAGGCCTGTACCACCAACGCCTGGCTCCAAGCCACTCTTGATGGAATCATTGCACTCATTTATGACACAATTAGTTTCATCGTTACAATTAGCATTCTATCCTGATACATTGGTTATTAAAATTTTTAAACAAGGGGTGGGGAGGACATGAGGGAGCTGGAAGGTTGAGTTGGGGGAAGAATAGAGGAGAGCAAGATAAGAGATACCAAAATAGAAGGAGCCATTATAGGTTTAAAGAGAAATCAGGCACTAGGGAAATGTCTGGAGATCTACAAGGATGACACCAACTAACAATGTAAGAGGAGAGGCTACCTTAAATGCCCTCCCCTGATAATGAGATTGATGACTAACTTATATGCCATTCTATAGCCTTCATCCAGCAGCTGATGGAAGTAGAAGCAGACACCCACAGCTAAACACTGAACTGAACTGAAATCAACTTGCAGAGAAGGAGTGATGAGCAAAGGGGTCCAGACCAGGCTGGTGAAACCCCAAGAACCAGCTGACATGACCAAGGGGGAGCTCTTGATCCTCAGACTGATAGCTGGGAAGCCCGCATGGGACTGTTCCAGACCCCATGAACGTGTGTAGCTGTGAGGAGGCCTCGGAAATCTATGGGGCCTCTTGTAATAGATCAGTACTTATCCCTAGCATAGGAATGGACTTTGGGAGCCCATTTCACATAGAGGGATACTCCCTCAGCCTAGATACATGGGAGTGGGCCTAAGCCCTATCCCAAATGATATGACAGAGTCTGGAGATTCCCCCATGGAAGGCCTCACCCTCCCTGGGGAGCAGAAAGGGTATGGAATAGGTAGGGGTTAGTTGAGGGGGAGCAAGTGAGGAGGAGATGAGAGGAAACTGGGATTGACATGTAAAACAATCTTGTTTCTATTTAAATTTTAAAAATGGAGAAAAAAATTTTTAAACAACCAAGTGCCTCAGAAAAGATGTGACCAATGAACAATCATGAACCACCACCCAAAAGCCATGTGACCAGTGAACAGTTATGTAACCACCACCCAAATACTATGTCACCAATAAACAGTCATGCAACCATTATCAAATACTATGTGACCAATGAACAGTCATGTTAACTACAACCCAAATACCATACAGTTCCAGCCCAACACCCCAAAAAGTTGCCTGTGTAGCCACTCTCCCCTGTGTAGCCTGTGTAGCCACTCTCCCCTTCATATCAGTTTCTGGAACATTAAACACGTTTACTTTACCAGTCAGAAAAAAATGCAAATATATAACTTCTTGAAAATAAACACACACACTGAAAAAAATGTATGAAAGACAAAATACTAGCAATGGGGAAGAAGACAGAAGGAATGTAGCAACTAGTGAACTTCAGGTTCAAAGAGAGAGTGAATTGATTTGAAGATGTCCAACATTGGTCCCTGGCCTCCACACACATGTGATGGGGTTTGTCCATATATGAATAAACCACTGATTGTCCAGTAGCCAGGCAAGATGTATAGGCAAGGGTACCAGACAAGGAGAATGCTGGGGAGAGGAAGGCAGAGAGAAGCCACCAGAGAGAGACGCCATGTAGCTGTTGGGAAGATAGGACACTGGACTTTCTCTAGTAAGATAAAACCATGTAGAAATACATAGATTAGCAGTTATGGGTTAATAATTAAGATAGAGATAACCAGTAAGAAGCCTGAGCCATTGGCCAAACAGTTATACTTAATATAAGTCTCTGTGTGTTTATTTGGGGCTAAATGGCTGTGGGACCAGGTGGGACAGAAATGCCACCTACACATAAGTACACCTATATGCCAATGAACCCACATATATGTAAGTACATACACAAATACACACAATAAAGCATTTCTGTTATGAAAATGACTAAATTTGCTACCCCAAAGCCTACTGCATACAAAAACTCTACATGGACTATAACATGAAGAATGGCTTATTCCCAAATGTATCCCTAGAATATTCTTATTAAACCTATCTATCAGTACACTTGTTGAAAAGTATATTTTCCTCAACAGAGTTATTATATGATGAATATCAAATCTAAATGTTCCTTACAAAGCCATATATGGAAGTACCAGAAGCCATAAGGGCATATTTCTTCTTAGTATGTAGTATCTCACAGGTAGGAAATCACTGTTGCCCTGTCTACACTCAGCTTAAGTTTGTCTGACTTAAGTTTAAAAGACGATACTGCTTTCCTTACAGTGTTGTAAGTAATAGTAGCACTACATCTCCTTAATGCTGTCCCCCTCTGGGATGAAGCCCTAGTTGTCTCTCCATTTGTCATTCGTCTGCATCTGAAGAGCTCTGAGTACCTGCTATCAACTTCTCCGAGTCCGGCAGGTGTGTGAACTGCTGTTTGTATTCCTCATTCCTGTCTTTGTAGGTGGAACTGGAGATCTGAAACAATAAAACGTTTACATTTCTGTTTACTGCCGCTTGTAACAGCTTAGAAACGAAACTTCAAAATCATGTACTTTCTGTCAACATTGTGCCCTTATATGAAAGAAGCACAAACATTTCAAAAGCCATTGGTGTGAGAGTTCTGAGGGTGTGGGACAGGCTGTTCAAGCTAGCAGCTATGTTGACAGAGGAGGCTGGGCTGATGTGGAGAAAGCAGAAAAGTTGTGTTAAAAGTAAAAGGGAAAACCCTAACATCATCTGGGCAGACTGAGGGTCTGGTCCCAACTGGAACAAGCCAGGTGGAGATTAGCAAGGTCCTGGACAAACAGACCTAGAAGGAAATGAGTGGGTTTGACACTGTCTGCTCAATCCTGATCAAACAAAGCCACAGATATGTGGAGGAGACACTAGAGAGAACCTGAGCAACACATTCCTGCCTAGCAACACAAGAGATGTGAGAATCCGTAGAAACAGGGACAAAAGAGAAGAGTTTGAACTTTGCCCACATTACCTAGTGTACACACCGGTCTGTCAGTAGGAGGAAAAGCCTTTGGATCTTTGTATTTGAGTATATCATTTAGTAAACACTGACCAATATATAGGGTGGCTCCTAGAAAGTCATCCTTAAAAAGAAAAGAAAATCAAGAATAAATACAGCAGAGATATTCGTTCTCACACACCGTAGGACAAACCCAGATTTACTCTAGTCAACAAACAAAATCAACAATGACAAGCCTTTGGGCAGGGAGAATTCAATCAGAATCCAGAGATGCTAATGAGGCAGGCAGTAGGGTGGAGGTTCAAGGCCCAGAAGGCCTTATGCAAAGCCTTACAAAACTGACATATGGAAAAAGCACTCTGGCAAAGAGGAAGGCTGGACTCCCCACCTGTTGCAAACCCAAACTGGCTCGCACAACTGACACAGGTGCAGAGGCACTCCAGAGGATCTAAAGACAATCCATGGCTCATAATACTACTAAATCTCATCCCAAGTAGTGGGTTAAGATAATAATGACATGTCTCACATGAAGTTCTATGTGTTGTGCTACCTATAACAGACAAATTGCACACAGAAAACCCCAGGCCCTTTGTAAAATGGCACCCTTGAGCCTGCTCCAGCCTGCCTCCTCCTTTGCACATTCATCTTAGTTCGCTTGCTACTGTCAAAATGTCTCTGGTGAATTCTTTGTAGCAGGACTCAAGAACCTGGACCTCACTGGACATACCCTTTAATTTCTGGTATCACTAACACTGTTAGAGTTATCTAACAAGCAGTGAAAATTATAAAACATGGGGAGCCACAGGAAAGAAAAGGTCAACAGGCAATACAATCTTTGATGGTTCCAGGAATTGGATTTAAGAGCCTAGGACATCAAAGAAATTATCAGCCAAATGTTCAAAGAACTAAAGAAAACCATGCTTGACGAACTTAGGGATTTTCCTAGTTTCAACTGCCAACTTGACAACTTAAAGCCACCTGAGATGAAAGCTTCAATTGAAGAATTGTGGAGATCAGATGACCTGTGGGCATGTCTGTGAGGGATTATCATGATTATCATGAATTGATGCAGGAGGGCCCAGCCCACTGTGGGCAGTGCTACTCCCCATCAGGTGTCTCTATGATTCTAAGAAAGTTGGCTGAGCCTGAGCCAGCCAGCAAGGCAGCAAACTGCTTTTTCATGGTTTCTGCTTTGAGTTCCTGACCTGACTTCCCACAATGATGAACTATTACCTGGAAGTAGAAGCCAAATAAGCCTTTTCTCCCTGAGTTGTTTTTTGTCATGGCGTTTGTCACAGCAACAGAGTAACACTAGAACAGCGTGTAAAGGTACTACTTGCTGCTAAGCCTGATGACCTGAGCTTAATATCCAGGACCCAAATGGTGGAAGGAGAAAAGAGACTCCCACAGGTTGTCCTCTGGCCTCCAGATGGAGACTAGAGGAGCAAATATAACAAGAAATGAGAAACAGACAACAAAATGTCTATTTGTAAATCCAACCATATCCTAGGTATTAATGTAATCAGACTACATGACAGAGGTTAGGATAAAAAAGGAAGAGGGGAAGGTCTGGAATGAGCTAAATGCCATGCTCAAGAACTCAGAAGAGGAAAAATTCAATTTAAAAAATAGGTAATAAAGAAAAGAATAAATTGTTTTTTAATTGAAACACACACAAAAAAACAATAGGACACATAAATGAGAGAGATCATTCTTTTAAAACAACCAAGTGGACAAACTTCTATCAAGACTAATGAAGAAAAGCAAAAAAGAGAATATATGGATTATTAATTATTAAAAAGAGAATAACGCTGTAGACACTACACACTCCGATACAAATAAATGTATCACCTTGTAGGAACATCCTGGTTCCTCAAAATAGACTGACTACTACAGCTCATTTAGTAGGAAATAGTTCATTTAAGTTGGCCCACAACCTAAAACGAAACTGAATATATGATTTCAAATTTCCCAAGACAGAAATCTCCAGGCCTAGATAGTTTCACTGGAGAAATCTTGAATGTTTAAAAACTCAATTCAATTCTGAACAATCCTTCTCAAATATTAAATTAAAAAAGAGCAGATCTCAATTCCTTGTGTGTAGCAAGTATTACTCTAATATCAAAACTGGATAAGAGATATTACAAAACTGGAAAATGATAGAAAAATATCCTCAGGAGTACAGATGCAAAACTTCTTAAAGTGTGAACAAATACCCTTCAGCGATATGAAAATCCAATAATACAGCATGACCAGGGACCCATGGCTGACTTAATAGGCAAAAGTTAATCAATGTGATCCATATCATTAACCAGCTGAAAAAAGAAAAATCACAGCTTTTGCTTGATATGGACATAAGTCATTGTCCACTTGTCATTAAAACAAACAAACCTCCCACAAAGCACAAACACAAAGGAACTTCAACTTGAGAAAGAACATCTACAAATCACCTGTAGTTTATAAAACACTGTAGTGGTGAAAAACTTGATTCACACAATGAATTGAGATTTGCTCTTGTTAAATCTAAATGTTGGGAAAGATTATGCAGAATTAAAATTTAATTTTTAGATACTTTAAGATTTCTCAGTGAAACTGTCTTCAAGTCTCAAGACTTGGAGATTTCTGTCAGGTGTTTTGGGATGTTGGTGAGATGGTTTAAATTGGTACCTCAAGTTACATATTTTAGAAACTTAATCTGCAGCCTGGAGTGGAGCCTACACCTGTATTTCCAGTACCTGAGAGGTTGAAGCAGGAGGGTCACCACAAGTTTGAGTCTTGGGATATCTAGTGGGTTCCAGGCCAGATTGGGCTATAAATAAAACTACACACACACACACACACACACACACACACACACACACACACACACACACACACACTAATTTCCAGGACTGGGGATATAGTTTCATGGTATAGCATTTGTATCGACCTGGGTTCAATGTCTAGTACTAAACAAATAACTCTCCCTCTCTACTACAATAGTGTGTGAGAGATGGTGACACTGGTACTGTTGTCATTGGAAGTAGGTTAATTACAATACAGTTGACTTCTTATGAACAAATTTGGCACCATTTGCTCTCCTGTCCTTCTACTTGGTCCCAGGCTGCCATAGCAACAAGTGAGACACAAAATAAGCAAATGGGACTCCACACTGCAGGCTCACCGACCACAGACCCTCAGCCTGTAGACCCTGCTAGTTTCTGGGACTAAGAGGCACTTTTCTTTTTCTTCTTTTTATGAATTAGCTTGTCCATGGTTTCATTATAGCTACATAAGGTAAGCTAACAGATGATTGCTTGTTAGCTATGTTTTTACCCAAAAGATGTTTCCCTATAAATTTTTTCATACAATATATTTCCATCTTATTCTTTCCCTTCCCCAAACTCGTTTCCTGCCCACCCAACTTCATGTTTTCTCTCTCTCAAAAAAACAAATAAACCCAAAAGAAAGTTGAAACAAAAAACCCAATAAAAATGTACCAAAACAAAATAAAACAAAACAGTGCCCCCCAAAAATATGGAGTCCGCTTTTTTTCTATCAGGCCCCCAGACCTTAGCATAACTGACTCTATGACAGAAGTACCATTCAAGCTGTAAAACTCAACATACAGACAGCACCACCTGCCAAAATTAAAACAAAGGCATAATTCATCAAAGTCCATAGTTCTGGGGATGTTTCTAAGTGCACTAACCTTGCTTTTTGGCTTCTGTAGTTATGCTTCTGTGGATAACCCACAACAGTTTTGTTTTGGCCAACTGCTCCTGAGCATGGGCCTGCTCTGGAGTGTGGTTGATATACCCAGTGACACTCCATTAGAGACAGCTGATTTTTCCTTTTCAAGCCGCCAAAAGGTAATTTTAGTTATAACACGGTCATCCTTACAGGGGCAAGGTTTTTAATAATTTATGAATTTTCCTCCCCCAGTCCTTTATTTCTTTGGAAAACTACATAACAAATTTTACACAGGAAAATCAGAACCACTATCCAAAACCCAGTGTGCCAGTCGGTTTCTGCCATCAAATTCTACTTTTGCAGGGGAAAGGATAAGACAGGGTTTCTACATAGCCTTGGCTATCCCGGAACTAACTATATTGACCAGGTTGGCTTTGAACTCACAGAGATCCATCTGCCTCTTGAATACTTGGATTAAAAGCATTAACCTCCATGACTAGTCAAATCATACTTTTTAAAAAAAGACTTATTTTTAATTATGGGAAGGGGAGTTGTACACATGAGTGTAGGTACCAATGGATTTCCTGAAGCTGGAGTTATAGGTGGTCATGAACAAGGATGTTGAGAACTGAACTTCAGAGCGTCTACAAGAGCAGCACACTCAATGCTGAGCCATCTCTCCAGCCCCAAACTGTATTCTTTAATGTCCTTAGCAACCCCATCTTCAAGTCCACAAGCTAGCTCTCCAGTCTTCCCTAACAGAAAATAGTGTGCTGCTTGTCCTTAACACGCTTCCTATCCATACCTTTGTGAACACTGTGGTTTC